CTAGCTGCATCGATTTGTTTTCTTTAAAAGAATCTAGCCAACCCATTGGTGAAAGCAAATGTTCCAAAACAGTTTTAGAGGGGTTTTCCTGCAGATGTTCACGTGCCAACTGCAAGACGGTTTGGCGAGCCCAAATCAAGAGACGTCGCGCTGCGATTGCCGCCGTGTGTATTACAATAGGGAGACCTCCTAGTCAGGAAGCCGGAAGAAGGAAAATCGAACAGTCGACCCAGCCCAGGGCCAGGGAGTCCCCTATGAAAATAAACAACACCCATTCCAATTTGCTGTGGACTGTCCACCGGACCTCATTCACGCCCCAGCTCTGCCTCTCTGGTGGGCAGCGTTGGATGCCTCCAAGGCTGCTGCAGCCTTGCTTCACCATGCTTCACCAACATTCTCTGGAATTGGGGCCCATCCGTACAGGTCAGTTAGACCTCATTTGACTGGAGTTGATCGTACAAAAACACCGTCAATGAGGTAAATGATCGGGTTTGGACCTGGATCAGACTGGACCAAACCCAGGGCATGGAATTCCAAACCATCACCAGACCATCCATCGATTGGAACCGGACTGCCAGGTGGAGTCCACCGAACTCTGAGTCTTTGTGGGGTGTCCCTCCACCTCCAAACACGAAGTTCGAAAGGTTAGTTGGACCGAAGTTCAGTCACCCAATCAATTCACCCAAGACACGAAAAGACAAGAAAAAACAATCTGTGGCTTCCTACGGATGTGATAACGATATCTGTCTGTCGCTGCCTCTATGGTCCTTTGATAATCATGGTCCTCTCCCGTTTGGGCTCCGAACGTCCCATATGGTTCGGTGGTTAGACTTCCCTAACACCCACCCCAACCACCGAACCTCAGGAGGGGGCGGCCAGGAGCCCAAACGGGTCTGACAACACTGTTTTCCAACATGGACCTTGGGTTCGGATTCTCAAGGAGCCGAGCAAACACTCGAGCACACATCTTAGACTGGCGAGATACCGAGCCGAGCAAACCGCATGCGTCTACCGGGCACGAAACCTCCAATCCGAGAAGTACTACTTTGAGAGATCCCCACCCTCAAAAATGACTTGGAAGAAGGAGGTGCTTGCATTGATAAGTATTACAGTACAAATTACCTGACATGTGCTCTGGCACCTGTTCTGATCTCTCACATATGAATGTTCTGGCACCAAGCCTGACAAATTGTTCTGCCATGGGTTCGGGATGGTTCGGGCATCTGTTCTGATATGTACTCTGCTGGCCCTCCTATTCGAATTCTGACATGTGTATGACATCAGTGGCCCTTCTTGTCCTGGGAAAGGTATGTCTGGTGTTGAATGGCTGCTATCCAATCATCGACCCCGGCAAAGATACTGCCAATGGAACCATCAAAACATGTCAATCCCTAGGGCTCCAACTACCTCCTGAGAAGGAGGTTGGGGTGGGTTTTGGGGGTCTTACAATATATGTGGATGTGGCCAACTGCAAGCATGTTCCAAACATTTTCGGACTTGCTGACACATCCCGCTGTGCTTTCCTGCGAACATTCTCACGCACTGCGCGGATGGCTCTTAGCCTCTGTGTACCCCTGTCACTGGTAGACCGTCCTATCACCTCCCCCAAGCCGCCCAACATGAAGCATCGGCCGTGAAGTTGCAGAAGCTGGCGTCTGAGCCTCTGACGTCTGAGCCATCAATCCCAACCATCCGCTGGGCGCTGGTGCTTTCTTTTTGGGCCATACTGGGTGTGCCTTTTCATGGCACGACAGTCCAGCGCTGCCCTGTCCATGGGACTGAGCTTCAGTTGGCTGACCCGGGGTCGATGCAGGCATATACTCCAGTCCCAGATGGTCTGGGCTCTAATCCGTTATAGGTCACAGAGATGTGGGCCGTTTGGAGGAAAAATCCAGATGTGGGAGCTGGGCCAAACATGGTGTGGAAGTTTAGGACGTTGAATACTTTGTTTGGATCCTGGAACCACCTAGGGCTCAGCTCACACATCTTCCACATCTTCAAACTAAAAGAATACCAGGGCTCTTTCGGAGGGGGAAGTAAATCCCTACAGGTCAAAGACCTCATCTTACTGGAATTTCTTGGGTCTATCCTATTACCTGTATCAGTGGATGATGATGGTTACTAAAGGCCTTGTTCAGAAATAGTGCTAGTTGTTTACTGACTGCTCTACAGGTTAATGGGGCAGACCCAAGAATTGTCTGTTTTACTGGCTGTTGATGGGGACAGGTAGCTTTTCCTTCACGTCACAGGAACTCTCACGAACAAACGAGATAGGAATTGTGGGAGTGGCTTCTTATATAGTTCCAGGATGTTCCGAAAATACACAAGGGTTGCCATCATTCAACCATCCCGCATACGAGATCGCCCCACGCGCTAATGCCCATATATGCGAGATCCAACGATCACAAGACCCCAACTACAGGAAGCCAAGTAACCCTTCCCAAAGAATGGTCAACAGAGTATATACATCCTTGAGAAAGGTCAAATTTGGAACTTGTTGGGATGGGAAAGCTTCCTTCACCCCTTTCAGCGATGCTCTCTTCTACTAGGTGCCCCAGGCAGGGCCTTCCTTCCCTGTCTTGAGATATACCACTTTCCTTTCCCTCTATGTTTTGAAGCTGGGCTGCCACTTGGTTGAAGGAACTTGCAAAACATCTCCTGTTCCGTGTCACACTTGTACTATCGTTCCACAAAAGAAACACGCCCCTTCAAACTCGGACATGATCATGGAACACGTTTTGAGCCACACAACCACCTTCTTCTTACTTTCCTTCCTCGGCCGGGGTCTTCCCTGTCTTCCCGCAGGGGCAGCGTTGCTTCCCCGCAGGCGCGGCCGATCTGCCAAGGAACATTCGAGCATCTCGCTACGGTTGGAATGTCTGGACCACTTGCATCCTGATTCACGGCTGTTTGTTCCGTGAGGGATGTTTGTTCGCTGATCTTGTGATGTTCGTCGGGCCGTTCCCAATAGAAACGCCATGTTAACGTAAACAGACCCTCACTTGATGCCCCTTTGTGTGCAAACATCACATGGAATGGGCAAACATCACACATATTCCATCTCCAGGATACTGATCGGCAAACACGTCCACATGTGCACAATTACACGTCGACAAACCATCCAACTGCCATTGCTTCAAAGGAACAAACAAATCACCATCCAAGCCAGCCTCCCTTTTTTCCCCAGTTCTGGGGCTGGACTCAAGCATCGGATTTAAACATAGAGCGGAGTTTGCCTGAGTCATCATGAATCGGATCCTCTACCTAGATCAGCATGAGAACCCTTGCAAGGTCATTGTGTCTATCATGCTTATCACACAAATCATGCACGCTTTCGTCCTGGCATGGTGGGCATTGGCTGCTGCGCCACCAAAAAGGGCCCATCCTTGTCACTGCCACTGGGGCCTTAGAGGTTCACAGGCTCACGTTGAAGGACATCACACCCCACCTAGTAGCGATGGCCTCTAACCTAAGAGCGATGGAGCCCAATTCAACAAAAACACATCTACGGGACCTGAGGACGCGGAAAGTGACCTCGAACTGGGGAGTCTGTGTTTGTGACCCAAACGGACTTGTTCGTGACCGGGTCACGAACAGGTCAGGCGTTGGGGACCGGGAACGAGGCCAACCGCTTCTTGGAGCTTCATTGAGTGGGGTTCATTGATCATCGTGGTGTGGGGTGCTTTGGTTTGACAGAGTTGGATATTGTTTTGAGTTGATGGCATTGGCATGCAGGCAGATCATTTGGTGTTGCAGGCAGTTCTCCTCACAACCATTGGTTGCAATTTTGTGTTTGTTTGAGATGGCCTGCTTCTATCAAGCTGCATGGAGATGACTGTTTTTCTGCCAAACCTCGTGAAAAACATCATCAACAAACATATAAGCCCACCCCGCGTCAAAATGCATGTCTTTGTAACATTTTGTAACATGCTACAGTCACAGGCTTCAATTCACAACCGAAGCTCGGACTTGAGGCTTCACTTGCGATTGCCACTACCCTGAAGCGTCAGTTCAACTCGACATCAGCGGTGTGGACGCATCATGTGTGGTCCCGGGGAAAAACAAATAGCTCCATGAGTTGGATGGTGTTTAGACCCATCTAGTGAATGGATGTGACACCTTTCTCTCCCCCGACTTCATCTTTCGCGCCCAAACGTCTGATGGAAACATAGAAATCAAACCATCGGGAAAAAAACAGATCTACAGCCCCGGAACAGACCCACTTCTTCGCAGCCAACCAATTCTTTCGCTCCCGTCGCAACCGAAACCGTCGCAGCGTCATACGACAGTCCTGGGTAGCCCTGGCAGCCCAGGCGAACTTGTGCGAAGTACAACCTCAGGAGTCACCAGGAGTCACCGAGAAGTCCTATATATCTCTCCACGTAACGAGAGTTTCAGGCCAACAAAGCCACCGATGTTGTTTGGGGTTGAGAATCGGTTAACCTGTGTTTTATGTGTTTTGTGATGTGTCTGATCCGTTTCGGGGAAATTAGTGACCAGTGACCTCTCTTTCATACTCACGCACACACACTCTATCTCTCTCTCTCTCTCCACAAACCATTGTCTTCTCAGGGCGGATTCCACACGGAACACTCTTCCTTCCCACACGGAACCATCTCCACATCCATCGGCATCCATGGGCACGGCACCGCGGCCGTGATCGTACGTGGCCGATGGTGGCAGATCCGGTGATCTCCGAGTATACCATCAGCACGACCTGAGGAAAGGCATTCAGAAAGGCGACCTCCAGGAAGCAAGCTTGCTTAGCTTGCTTTGGCTTTGATGTGTTGAATCGGTGCAGGCCAAATGCTCTGCTATCCAATGTTGTGCCAGGTCCACTCGTCCGGGAGTTCTTGCGATCGCCCCAGACTGGGGATGATGATAAGTAGGTCCGTAGGTGCCAAAGCTCAACAATACACTTCCCACTCAAGCAGTTGATCCAGTGGCCTATGGGTAAGGCGTCGTCTTTGCAAGCTGTTGTGCCTGCCTTCGGTAGGCTCTATCTGCTTGACAAGCACGAAGTTGGAGGTTCAACTTCTCCCTGGACGCGTTGTGAGCGAAGGGGATGGAATCCCACAACGCCTGCTAATCCGATCAAGGTTCCTCTTTAAGAACATTCTGCGTTGGTCACCATCTCAACGCTTGCCGCTTCGTCATGCTGTCAGCTTGCTCAAAATTGTTGTAAAAAAAAGTTTCCATATACACTTAACAAAAGTCACATAAAGTCACAGTCTACTAATTTGGTCCATTGTCTAGGGCCATTTGAGTCTTTTTGGAAAGCTCGGTGTTAGTCTCTTGACCCACAGCATGATTCAAGCAAACAATGCACAAGACACTCAGGCAAACAAGAAAGAACATCAAGAAACAACCTCACATACAGTA